ATAAAGGGAAACAACGGCCCATTATTTTACATATCCGGAAGAAACACGTGGCAGAGGGATCGGGCACCCTTCGAAAACGCGAAATAGGAAGAAAGTCGAGCAAACAAGGATCAGGGGTTTAAGAAGAAGGTCAGAGTAATCGAGCGACGCGGAAGTTGGGAGCTCTTGGCGAAGAATTTGCAAACACCCCTGCCGAATCTACTTACCCCGGCAAGATTTCTTGCCGCGGCGTATATAACGAGGATCTCGTGGTTGACGGGAGAGCGCGGAGAAGGGTATTAGAAGAGAGTGGAAACCGGCGACGTAGTAATACGTACAACAGTTTCAGATTGTTTCCGGGATAAGGGTGGCCACCCTACGCTCGGACTTACAAGCGAACACGCAGTTAGCATGCTAAGCAGAATTACATCGTGTTAGTCTAGTTTATATCTCGTAATATTCCCACGGCTGCATTGTCAGGGCCGCGGAGCGTTCGGCGGAAAGGGCGCGTCGATGAAAACGCGGCTTTGCCGGCTGCATACAAAATCCGATTGTTCGCAGGGTAAAGCACAGTGCTGTGGCCGGATAGTTTGGCGCCCGACGACGAACCGGAATATTCCGGGCGGAATTGTTGCCGCTATTTAGAATAGGGGTGCAGGGTACAATTCGCAGCGAAGATCGTTAAACTAACAGAGGGGCTGGACGTTGACGCGGCCGAACGTTCGTGTTTGTGGCCTCGGACAATATGAACATCGTTCCCGATCTACGATTATCTAAATATTAGAACTGCGGTGCGGTTCCGGTCGACGATTTTGATTTACTCGGCCAACGTCGCGCGGAATTGGGTCTTCGGGTCAGGCTTCCGGCTGCTGCTTGTCCAGGGTATCGACGAAAAATCTGGAACGCCCGAGTACCGAGTACGAGTTACACGCGGCAAATATTTCGCTGCTAATTTGCTAGTAGCCGAGGGTGCAACTTAGATTGCGAATGTGCGCGTTGCCAAAGGGCTCCGGGCAACCTCAACTTCCGCAAGTTGCCTAGACTAGCGGGCAACCGATTCTTGAACACCGTGGTAATTCTCTTGACATCGACTGCAACCCGGAATCACCCCTGTTTATGGCAGAATCCGTTACGTAAGCTTGGC